AACAAGTGGTGGGATGTACTTGGCCCACTGGTCATGTCTTGCCAATCCCTGACCTAAGTGTTCGCAGCTCTTCAGCCAAACTTAGACAGTCCAAGCCTCTCCGCGATCACGGCTTCTCTGGCTGGTCCGGGTGTTCTGCCCTGTCCTCCAAGGATGGCAACAGCTTCAAACTCCGCCGGAGTAGCTGTGCCCCTTCAGCTTTACTCTGTTCCCAAGGAGCTCCATTAGAGGGTGCTGGAAAGACAGCCTCCTCCCTAACCACCAGTGTCCCAGGCAAAGGTGTTCTTTCAGCTATGAACTGCTTTCCCCGGCCCCGCACGTTTCCCTCCTTCCTGTCTTCCAGCCGGTGCACCAGGGTCAGGCCTGCCGCCTCGGCCGCCTGGGGGCGGCCTCCACACTCCTTTCCTTTTCTGTGCGGTTCTCAGCCCCAGTGCTGCCGCGTTCCAGAGCCAATGCTCTTTTAATAAAGGGAGACGTACATGCACGGAGAGCTGGGAAGAGGTCAGCCAGAGGTACATTTCTGGAGAAGAAGGATTTTAAGTTGGGCTTGGGACAGGGATTGAAAAAGGGAGGAGAGCCCTGGCCGGGTTGGCTCAGCGGTTAGAGCTTCAGACCTGCGGTCCAGAGAGACCCGGGTTCGGTTCCTGCTAAGGGCGCATACCTCGGTTGTGGTTTGTCCCCGGCCCTGGTTGGTCATCCGGGTGGCAGCCACTCGATGTGTCCCTTTCACGTTGATGTTTCTCTCTCTCTCTTCCTCTCTCTCCCTCCCACTCTGGCTGAATGGAAAAATGTCCTTGGGTGAGGATTAAAAAAAAGAGAAAGAAAAAGGGAGGAGAGATCGTCATGACTAGGTATGGTGCCAGATGGGTATCAGACTTATGGGGTGATCACGTTGTAAGGTCTATAAATGTCTAGTCACTATGTTGTATACCTGAAACTAATATAAACATCATATGTCAACTATAACTAAAAAACTTTTTTGAAATAAAGGGAGAGGAGAGGAGAGGAGAGGAGAGAAGTGGTGTTCTAATCAGAAGCAGGAGCGAGCTGTGGGCAGGTGACACTGAGGGGACAGTCCACACACAGAGGCCATATGAAGGGAGAGAACAATGAGACTGGGGTCAGGGTGAGACCTTAGCAGAGGGTTGGCCTGCTAGACCCTGAGAACCCTGATTCAGAGCAGCTTGAGGTGACTCCATATAATGGCGTGGCCGGAGAACTCGATGGCCTTGACTTCCAGCCCTCGTTTCTCACCTCAGTCCTGCACTCTCTATTCCTTCACCCATTCACTCAACAAACTTCAGTGATTCCCATCAAGAACCAGGCATGGCCCGGCCGGTGTGGCTCAGTGGATTGAGCACCGTCCCATGGACTGAGAGATCCCAGTTCGATTCCTGGTCAGGGCACATGCCTGGGTTGCTGGCTTGATCCCCAGTGAGGGGTGTGCAGGAGGCAGCCAATCGATGATTCTCTCTCACATCAATGTTTCTATCTCTCTCTTAAAAAAAAAAAAAAAGAGCCAGGCATGTTTGGCTTGTTAAGGGGAATGAATGTCAAATCATGTAAGTGTGCTGCACTCCAGAAATGGAGAGTAGGAGAGAGAACATACACCTGACTACAACCCAAAGAGGAGAACGCTTAATGCCTCACGGGAATGTGGACAAGGAGTTCAGGCAAGGGAGAGGTGATGGGCAGGGGAGCAGGGGAAGGGAAGTCTGTGGAAGAGAAAGAATTTGAGCCAGAACCCGAAGGAGAGGGGATATCTGAATCTGTGAAACACAGGGGAAGGGCTGTCCAGGACCAAGTGACAGTGAGCAAAGGGGGTGCAAACAGCAAGGAACTCGTTTTGGTGCATATTTTCAGTGGGGGTGTTCTTGGCATTACTTTGGGGGAAACTTTTCATTGTATGAGTCCGTCCTATATAAAGGAGGTCTTACAGCGTCCCTGCCACCTCCCTCCCCGATGCCAGTAGCCACAGCCCCTTTCCATCTGCATTTTCAAACAACACTGCCCACTCTGTGGGAACCACTAGACAGGTTTGTGCAGGCAGGCAGTAAAATGTAAAGTTGGACTGGAAAATCAGTGGCCAGACCATGGAGGGCCTCAGGTGTCAGAACGAGACATTTGCACTTTGTTAAGCAAGCAAGGAGTGTCCGCTGAAGATTCTCCAGGAGGAAGGGCACACAATCTGCTTTAGAAAAATGAAGTTTGGAGCAGGATGAATGGAAGGCCTAGGAAAGGCAGAGAAATCTGTTACAGCCTTCTGCAACCTTTCACTCGGGTTATTTTCAATCAGGGTGGGCTGCTTTACCCACAATTACTGGTGGATGGCAAAGGTCAAGGGAGGTCCATTCTGCATATCCCTGCTGATCGCTGGAATGTCCAATTAGAACAGCATTTGCTACATCAGAATTTGACTCGTTTTCTTTTGTCTCTGTCTTTCAGATCAAGTCACCTGGGAGTGATGATACCACAACTCCTCCCCCATCGGTCCACATGGGCAGAATTTGTGTAAAACTAGAAGGAAGGAAAAGGGTAACCCTTTGAGGGTTTTCTCTCCCCTCCCTGTCCAGGGTCTGCTGCCTTCTTAGTAAGCAAACACTGGGTGCCTGAACAAGAGAACTATTCAGCCTGACCAAAGGAGAGAGGAAGACCCTCCCTGCTCTGCCCCTTCCCTGACCAGGACAGGACATGGCTTTTGATCCACAGCCCAGAGGATCCCAAGCTGATAAAGGCCCATTGTGGCAGCTTCTGGAGAAACCCAGAGGCCATCAGGGGACTTTGAGGCTAAGCAGCCAGTTAACAGCCCCGGAACATTTGTGAAAAGAATTACTACTTGGTGGAAGTCAACGCAGAACGAGGCCCCCGGGCTGCCACTGGCACCACCCATGGCAAGGAGACTAACGGCAAAAACAGCAGGAGCCTGGCCTGACTGGAGAAGGGGCTGCCCTGCGGCAGAAGGAGCCCAGGGGCTGGGAGGGCTCCCCTGCAGACACCTGGAGCATGAAACCCAATCGCCCGTCAAATGCAAGAAACACAACCCTTCTTTTAAAATGGTCCTGGGGAAGAGAGGAGCCTCCTGCCCCTAGCCCCCCAGAAGGGTGCCCAAAGCCATAAACGGCAGGAAAGGATGGCTGCGGAGTGGAAGCCGACCTGGGACCTGTTTAGGAATCATGCTTTTTCCGCTCCGGTCTTGAATGCGTTTTGCGTCCAGGCACCTCACCGTTCGCAGACCTCGCTATTCTGACAGCGCAAACACAAAAGTAAGAAGGGAGATCCTGAGATAAACGCTGCTGGGGGGTAGTAGGGAGATGGCTGGATGGGAGGTCTGGTGGGAGTATCCGGCAGAATGAAGCTTCGGTGGGAGGTTTGCGGTTCAGCCTGGTTCAGCTGAGGGTCAGCAGCCCAGCCCCCACTTGTCCATGGGGGATGGAAAAGGCTTCAATCCCTGCTGAGGCCCTGGAAGGGGAGAGGGGTACAGGGATGGGGGAACTGAGCCCCCTGACCCACCCCAAGTCTGTGCACTGCTGTTCTCAGCTGACAGCTGGCCCTATCACTTGGAAGAGGAAACGCAGAATTGAGGTCAGAGACCCTGGCCTCGGCCAGGTGCTGGGCGGGGGCTTGAACTGGGAGCAGAGGTTGCGGCAGTCATCGTGAGCACGTTTCCACTCTTCCTGAGGACCCGAGGTGGTGACTGGCATGGCTCCTCTGTTGTGGTTCTGCTTTCCCTCCCCACCATCCCAAATGCATCAACTTGGCCCTCTCAAATGTCAAGTCATTTCGACATCAAAGCACAGCAGAATAAGCAATATAAACCCACAGCAGAGCACCCGAAGCCATCCAACGTATATAAAACTCAAACTCGAGCACACTGAGGGCTGTCACACACGTGCATTTTATGTCAGTACTCGCCTCCCGTCGGGAGTGCTGCTGACAGTTGGTGGGCAGGCCGACAGCTCCCAGTTAGCAGTGCACCCAAACCCGGGAGGAGAGTTAATGACCCTCCACTCACCAGCACTAAGGGCCCACCTCGTGACAGACCTCACCTGGGACCAGGATTCACTTCCGGCTGGGGATGGATCTGGAACACAGCAGTTTCTGAAACCCAAGCCTCTTCTGCCTTGCTGGGATTGTCCCAGCTGGCGACACGAACGTGTGCACTCAAAGTGCTGGAACACTTTGTTCAGATCCCACAGCTCCCACAAACAAAAAAACAAACCCAGAAGACCGAGAAGGAAGGTCTGGGTGTCATTTATTGGCAGCGGTTGACACACATTTGTTTTCTTCCCAAGACCGTTTCCTTCAAAGCGCAGGCAGAGCCCCGTGGAAGGGCAGTCTCAGAGGGAGAGCCGGGGACGGAGGGAACACGTCTTTGGCAGGCATGTTCAGCCCCGGCAGGATGCAATCCTTCAAGATGGAATTCCGCGGGGTATTGAGACACCAAGGCAGGGAGTGGAGAGGAAGTCTTCCACAGGACTCATCTCGGTCCAGGCCTACTCTCACTATCCAAGTCCATCCCAGCTTTAGGACCCTTGGGGGGCAGCAAATCAAGCCCACCCACCTTCACGGGGCAGATTCTTCAATCCATGTCATTTGTACACACCTGCTTCCGCTGGCCCCCGAGAATCAGCCTTACGGTAAGAGACAGACCATTTCCTCTCTGCCCCTCCCAGCACCTCTCTTCAGCGGGTCTGTACAGGAACTGCTGCAAAAACGAAGGCCCGTCTTCTCGGTTCGGCTGTGTGCCATCTTCGAGTCTTGAATAAATGTAGGGTGGGAGGCTACACATTTACTCAGGATGACAACTGTGCTCCCCCAGCCCATCACACGTATGACCCTGCCTTTCTTCTGCCAATTACCAGTGCCTAGGCTGGAGCTCCTCAGGTCCCCAAAACAAGAGTTAAGCTGGTCTGTGTAGGCACTTGGCAATTTTTGGTAGGGAAGTGGATTAAAAAAGTGGATAGAAATGAGAAGAACAAAAGAGTTTCATCTGATAAGAGTAGAGATCTGAAGTGATTTTACTTTTATTTCCTTCACTTTTAGCCAATCATGAAATGTCACAGTGATTCTGGGGTGGGGGCAGAGGAAGGCGGCGCTCATCCTCGGGCTGCGGCCCAGACGGCCCGCGGAGGGGCAGGCAGGCCGGCCTCACTGGGGCAGCTGCAGAAGCACCGACTGCCCGGCCGGCAGGTAGGTGATGTTCCGAGAGCGGGAGAGCTGGTACGCGATGTCCTCTGCGGCTTCCAGTTTGCGCAGCTCGATCAGGCCATCGCCCGCGGTAGCCAGCGAGTTGGCGATCAGCTCGGCGGCTTTGGAATCGCCCTCAGCAGAGATGATGGCTGCCTTCTTCTGTTGCTCAGCCTAAGACAGCAGAGGTGGGAGAGACCAAGATCACAACTCGGGTCACCGGAGGGCTGGCTGCAGCCTCGAAGGCCCCGGTTAGGCACTTTCAGCGGTTCCCGAACAAACTCTGGGAATTTGCCTCCCCCTGTGGATGGGGTCGACAGGCGCTGTCTACCCTCCCAGTTCTCTCCTGTCCCGTCCCACCCACTTCCCATCACTGTAGGGATACATTCTGTCCGCTGCATAAATAGCTGTCTGATTTCAAAGTCTTCATTAACATTAACAAAAATCTAGTCCGGCCACCCTACACGGAGCCAAGGAAAACAGAAAAGTAGAATCAATCCTCAGGCTCATCTTTCCCTTCAGCCCCAAGTCAAAGTGACTTTCACCAAAACCAGCATAGCTAAGCAGGAGCAGCAGGCAAGTGTGACGCTCTCCAGAGCTGTCTGCGAGCCATGGTGGTTCCCGGCCAGGAACCTGGGCACCCAGAACGAGGTCTCCTAGGCTTTCAGTACTCATATCAGTAGACCAGCTATCTGCACGGCATGACCTGCACAAGTGTGGGAGGAGCACAGTAACAGACTAGAAACTTAACACAATGTTGAAACCGCCTGTCCACTCACCAAATGCTATTGAGCACTTAGTATCCCCAGGCACGTGTCTAAGACTCCGGAGACAGGCAGTTTATATAAAGCAAAAAAAGTTCCTGTTTGTAGAGTTTACATTCTCTAAAATTAAATGCTGGCTACCCAGATATCCTCTTTCCCCCGATTTTAAGCTAAAGGGTATTGGATTAGAACAGCGGTTTTCTAATGGCACACATAAACGAATTACTAAAATTCTGCGGCACACTAAAAAAATATATTTTTTGCCGATCTGACAAAAAAAAAGCATTATAAAAAAGTCCTTATCCAAGGATATGTTCTTATTGATTTTAGAGAAAGAGGAAGGGAGCTGGAAGAGAAACATTAATCGGTTGCCTCTCTTAGGCACCTCGATGAGGGATCAAACCCACAACCTAGGTATGTGCCCTGTCCAGGAATTGAACTCATGACCTTTAGGTGGATGGGACAATGTTCCCCCCAAGTCACACTGGCCAGGGAAAAATAGTTATAATTTTGTTTCATTCACACTGGGCGGCTATTGTTGTGTTAGCCGTCATTTTTTATATACAAGGTGGGGCAAAAGTAGGTTTACAGTTGTTTGTATGAAAAATAATACAATAAATAATAATAATATAATAAACTGTGTGCTCTGGCCGGTCTGGCTCAGCAGTTAAGAGTGTTGGCCCACGGGCCAAAGAGTCGTGGGTTTGATTCTGGTCAAGGGCATGTAACTCAGTTGCAGTTTGTTCCCCAGCCCTGGTCAGGGCAGTGTGGGAGGCAGCCAGTCTGTCTCTTTCTCACGTTGATGTTTCTCTCTCTCACATTGATGTTTCTCTCTCCCTTCCCCATTCCCTTCTACTCTATCTGAAAAAGAAAGAATACACTGTGTTCCACATCCTCACAATTGTAAACCTACTTTTGTCCATCCTTATATATATATTTTTAATTTTTATTTATTTATTTTTAAAAATATGTTTTATTATTTTTAGAGAAGGGAGAGAAAACATCAATTGGCTGCCTCCTACTGGGGACTGAGCCCACAACTGAGCCATGTGCCCTGACCGGGGATCAAACAGGGACCTCTCAGTCCATGGGACGACGCTCAATCCACTGAGCCACACTGGCCGGGCCTATTTATTGATTTCTTTTTTAAGAGCGAGAGAGAGACATTAATTTGCTGTTCCGCTTATTTATGCATTCATTGGTTGCTTCTTGTACATGCGCTGACAGGGAATCAAAGCCCAAATCTTGGCATATCGGGACAATGCTCTAACCAACTGAGCTACTGGCCAGGGACATTTTTTTTTGACAATCTAAGGAAAAAAGTGGTCAGTGCTCCTGATTAAACAGTCAAGTATTGCATGCTTTAAAAATTCTGGTGGCACCCCAGACGAAAACAGCTAGATTAGAATACCAACTCGAGAGAATCAGTGGTGGGAGGAAGGGGACACCAAGAAATACATACACCTTCAAGGAGGCCAGGCTGTTATGCAAATAGATTGTGTCCCATTACACTCTGACACATCTGGATGGATTCAGCATTTGAAAAAATCCAGTGGCAAAAGCACATCTGGTGCAACATTTGATCCCTTTGGCTGTCAGCATTCACTGTGTAACTACGGTTAAAAATGACTTCTCAGCAAAGCTAAAACTATTCCAGGAGAAAAACATTTTTATTTGTAGGAGTGTTTTTGATCTTAGGGAAGTGGGGGGAAAAAAAACCGACTCTTCAGTGATTTAGGAACATAACTTCACATATCCCTGACTAGCCCCCAAAGACTCTGGAACCAATTGCAGGAGTATGGTCCCTTCAATCCCCTTCCAATGATCCCGGAAGAAGAGATGACAGATGATGAATTTCCAGGCCACCCAGCAAATGGGGAGGCTGAACACAGGAGAAAGAGAAGAGAGGCTCCTGCCATCTGGTTGAACGCTCACCTTTTCCACCACAAATCTGGCCCTCTCCGCTTCCTGCTGGGCCACCTGTTTGGCTTCTACCGCTTCTGTGAACTCCTTCCCGAAGGTCAGATGCGTCTAAAGGGAGAAAGTGAGTACAAGATGAGGCGGTGTAATTGCTTAGACAGTGTGGCCGCGAGGCCCCCACAGCCACTGAAAGGAAGAGGCCGGGCATGGCCCTCGCAGCTGGAGGCATCGCGAGGCCAGATCACCCTTCCACCTCCATACCCGTGTCCCAGCTGAGTTTACACCCAGAATCCTCGGCTGCCCCGAATGCTCCTGGACAGCGTTCTGTCACCCTCGGTGTGACAATCTCGAGTAGAAAATGGCCCATGGGCACTAAAGGTATCTATTCAATTGCCCACTTCCCCAGAGAAGGAGACCTGTGGTTCTGGGACCCCCACCATGACTAGTGCTCTTCCAAGGTCCTTTGATGGCCTGTTAGAAGCCCCCAGGGAGGCCAGATGGAAAACTGAGACCCTGAGAGTGAGGATGCAGCTGTCTCTCAGGGATTCAAGAGCCTGATGCTCCATGCTTATGGATTAACCAGTCCACTTCCTCACAGCACCTCCACCACAGAACAGGAAGAGGAGGGAGAACGTGGAACGCGAATCACCGTATTCCCAGTGTGCGTGCTTCTGGTAAAGGGCTTAAGAGAAGGGAAGGCAGGTAAAGCTATTGCTTAGGGAGAGGGTTTAAAATTCTGATTATCCAGACTTTCCCTAATCACATAAATAACTGAGACTTGGCTGAGTGACTGTCTCTAATGATAGTGCAAACAATGGGATCGGATCTCAGAATGCCTACTGCCGAGTCTAGGATGATTTACTTAGTTATCCAGCTTTTTATTAAAAAAAAAGGAAAGCCCTGGCTGGTTTGGCTCAGCAGTTAGAGCCTCAGCCCACAGACCAATGAGTCACGGGTTTGATTCCGGCCAAGGGCATGTACCTCGGTTGCAGTTTGTCCTCCGCCCTGGTCGGGTCCTGCAGGAGGCAACCAGTTGATGTCGCTCTATCACACTGATGTTTCTCTCTGTCTGTCTGTCTCCCTCCCTCCCACTCTATCTTATGATAAATAGAAAAGTATCCTCAGGTGAGGAATTAAAAAAAAGAAAGGAAAAAGTAGCATTGGTTTTGCTATAAAATTCTACTTGTTTTAATTCCTCCTCCATTCACCCTCCCTCCGCTTTTTTTTTTTTTATCCTCACCTGAGGACATTTTTTCCATTTTTTGTTCAGATAGAGTGGGAGGGAGAGCGAGGAAGAAAGAGAGAGAGAAACATCGATGTGGAAGGGACACATCGAGTGGCTGCCACCCGCAGGACCCAACCAGGGCCGGGGACAAACTGCAACCGAGGTACGTGCCCTTAGTGGGAACCGAACCTGGGTCTCTTTGGACCGCAGGTCGAAACTCTAACCGCTGAGCCAAACCGGCCAGGGCCAACCTCTGCTTTTTTAAAAACATAAGTAGCTCAAATTTTCTCCTGAAGAGTAAATGCCAGTCTCATTGCCTTCCTGAATTTTTAACACTCCTAACTCTTAAACTGCAGCTGCTCTATTGCTGGACTCTTATTCAAAGTTTGGGGGAGAAAATACAATCCTGAGAGATGAAAAATGAAATGTGCAATTAAGGAATAACATTTCTTTCTAAAAGGGCCAGCGGAGGGCAGCAAATTCCCCATGAAATCTAATTTTCTTCTCACACCTCTTGGATATGGTTTCTTGTGGTCAGCCCACATTTCCCCAGAATGGAATATGTGGTTAAAGTCTAGCAAAATGCCAAGCTTTTTACTTAGCATTTCCTCACAGCCAAGGTGTCCAGGCTAACAGTGGGTCAGAGGAGCCAACTGGCTGCAGCCTGGAATCTTGCCAATAGGGGGAGCCCACAGCCCTTCCACTGCCGGCAATTGGTGCGAGGTGGGGCCTGCCCTGCAGCTAGCACTGGGTGCTGTAGAGTGACTGTTTAAACAGCTGCGCAGATGCTGAGGGGGAAATGATGCCTTTGCCTAGCGATGCACAGGAGAACCGAACAGGAAACGCTCTACCTCACTACCTGAACGAATCACCCCAAATGATTTTTCCCACGAATCTAGAAACACGACCCTTCCCCGCACCTCCTCGATCTGAAATGCTATCCTGCCTGTACTGCTTTCCGCCTGACTTATGGCATTCAATGTCATATAAATACAGATATGCAGTCTCAAGAGGGTAGCTCAGACCTCAGAGATATCCCCTGCCACCCACACCAGGCTTTGGGGAACAGAACCATTTATTTACATTCTATCACCTTTCACTAGGGGTTCCCAGAGCTCACGTCACTGAGCTTCAGACCCGGAGTGTTAGGATATTCCCACAGGGCAGGCTGGGAGGTCTGCGCCAGGGAGAAAGACTCTCCGAGTGTTCTCTGGTCTCACCAGGCAGTTTCTTCCTGTGTCAAAACAGGGTTAACAAGACAGCACCTCCTGGGGAGCGCTGAGGAACAGTCACAGTCACAGTTTTGGGTGAAGAAACTCGTGGTTAGGTTACCCTCATGGGTAGTGCCAGAAGTCAAAAGAAAAATGTATGGCAGAGGTGAGATAAAAGGACCCTTGACTGAAAACAAGCCCAAGCAGAGGACCTCACAGTGTCAAGAAGCGTCCATGCTTTCAAGGCTCACATCTAGGAAAGGGGAAGGCAGGACCTAACAGTGCCTACGCACCTCAGCAAGCACTGGGCCCTCCCTGCAGGCTCCGCGAGGATCTTACCAAGGACACGTCATCCAGGATGAGCCCGAAGGTGGCGGCTCGCTCCGTAAGGTCGTCGCTCACCTGTCTGGAGACCAGCTCTCTCTGGGTGATGAGTTCTCCGGCGTCAAAGCGAGCCTGGTTCCAAGGGAGGGCAGAGTAGCCAGTCAGGACAATGAGGAAGCAGAAAAGAAACCAGGAAACTACCAGCCACATTCCAAACCACCCACTACCAAGCTCTTCTTGCCACTGAGTGATCTCCTGGGGGTCACTCATAGCCCAAGGCTGAGGCCCTGTCCACTCACCACCACTGACTTGAGGATCTCCGTAGTGATGGACGGCAGCACGCGCTCGTCATAGTCCTCTCCAATGCTGGTGAAGATGCGGGGAAGCTGGCTCGCAACCGGACGGAAAAGGATACGCAGGGTGATGTTGACATTCTGTAAATCTTGGGCAGGAAGGGGACAAATGCCGGAGTTAAAAAACCACAGTGGCTTCTATATGACCCCCAATTTGCTACAATTTATAAGTAAAGTTGCTCATGATAAAATCCTAGAGGGCAAGGAGTAAGGATGCTTGGTTTCCTTGATAGAGAACCTAGCAGAACACCAGTGAGGACCTTCTTAAAGGTTTCTGGTGATGAGAGCTTTTCAGTATGTCCTGAATGCCCTGATATAAGCAATTCAGATATGTCTAACAGGTGCTGTAGGATGTCTGGAACACTGTTTTTTGTTGTTGTTTTTTTATCCTCACCCGAGGACATTTTTCCATTTTTTGTTCAGGTGGAGTGGGAGGGAGAGAGAGGACCAGAGAGAGAGAGAGAAACATTGATGTGAAAGGGACACATCGAGTGGCTGCCACCCACACAACCAACCAGGGCCAGGGACAAACTGCAACGGAGGTACGCATCCTTAGTGGGAACCGAACCCAGGTCTCTCGGGACCGCAGGCGAATGCTCTAACCGCTGAGCCAAACCGGCTGGGCTGGAACACTGTTTTAAGAAAACAGGGCAATGCCAAAAATTCTAGAGTGAGGCCTTTCCAAGGCCTGGTGAATGTGACCTGTCAGGAGCATGCTTTGGAGAGGTTACCATGGGCTCAGCAGAAAGTCCACTTTGGACTGAACCAATAGGCCAAAGGCCTGGGCTGCAGTCCCACTCTGCTATTTACAAATTTTCTGACTTCACTAAACTTTAGCGAGTCTCAACTCAGTTCTCTAAGAAAGGGGCTGATTTCATCTGCCTTCCAGCACCATGGAAGGAAACTGACAGAGAAAACAGACACAAAAGCACTGTCAAATGCGACAGATGTAAGAGGCCATCAGAATCACTCGGCCTAGCTGAAGGACTCAGGGAGGGAACACAACTTCCCCTGACAATTCAGGCCTGCTCAGAGCTAACGCACTGTCACAGCTTGCTTGCTATCATCGAGAATATGGACCAAGCACCCGTGAGATAGTGTTGCACCAGGCACCAAGAGAAGTGGGAAATGTATACATGCAAGCCACTGATCTCTGGAAGTCCCTATCAATAGTTCCAAAGCCAGGCACACACGTATGCTTAGAACAACTGCAAAACAGTAGAGAAAAAAAAAACCCCGGATGGGAAGTTGAGAACTAGTCTTTCAAGTTCAAGTGTCATGTTTCTCGATGAACCTACCCCACCTGATTCCTTCTTTAGCAATAGGCAAGCCAGGCCCTTCATAGGAGGCTCCTTCTTGTCCCTGGTCAGGGGCTACAGGACCGATTATGCCATACCAACGTTCCCTCCCCATCCTCTGCCTGTTACACCACTCACTCTTAAAGTCCCAGTTCAGGGGTAAGCTCCTCGCAGGAGCCCACCCGCCAGCCACCTGTGGGAGCTAGCTGCTCATTTCTCTGCTCCCCCAACATGCTATCCGACCCTGGCTCTATTACTCACTACATCATACCTATGAGCTCACACCTCCTGCCCTAGCTACAGAACTCCTAAAGGCCCCTACTTTAGTCACCTCTGAACTGGCCCCACCCTCCCACCTCGCACGAAGCCCGGCAGTCACAGCAGGCACACAGCTGCTGAGGGACAGTACTGAAAGCAGCGAGTGTTACTGAAACGACCAACCAACATCCATGTGACCCCCTTCTCTGGCTGTGTGGAAATGTCACTGCTGAGCCGGCACCTGCTATTCCATTTACTGCCTGAGCACCCCTAGGTACAGGATGGGGGGACACGGACAGCGATTCGTTTTAGTCTCTGACTGGAAATCCAGTGACGTGTCAGACACCCGGAGACGGCTCTAGGGATGCAGGCGGCCTGCGAGGTAACCATGTGAGGTCAGCGCTGCTGGAAACACAGGCTTTGGAAAGTAAGGCAAAGCTGTGAAGGCGAACAGAACCACCAGAGATGGGTTTATATAGTCCCTCTGGGGAACGAGAACCAATGTGAAGGGTCACCCTTAAATATGTGTTTCTTTCTATGAAATAGAAAGTTATATCCATGTACAAGTCTCCAGAGAAAATATGCTAGGAATTCTTATGTGAAGTTCAACCTCTTCTGGATCCCACAGCACCCCTTCCACCCTCTCTCCCTAACCCCAGGCAAGGCTCACCTTTGCTACCAGTGATTACTGGCACATTGCGTGGTCGAGAGCGGCAGTCGAAGATAATTGGTTTCTGTACCCAAGGAATGAGAAAGTGGGTCCCTTCCCCTACCACGATGTCCTGCACTCCACGGAACCGGTCAAAGATGACAGCTCGGTGCCCAGCATCCACTAGGAATGAATAATGGTGGGTCAGAAAAATCCCTTCACCCTTTAACCAAGAATCATGCCCTTGAAAGATTTCTGTTCATTTATTAAGTCTCCCCTCTCCTGCTCCGTCTTCCCGCACTTCTGGTCTCTAGAGGCTTCTAAATAGCCACAAAACTAAGCAATTGCTTCCTGTCCTGTGTGTCTCCCCAAGGACTTTGGTAATAGGATCTATTCCTCAATCCTTTCTCCTTGAAACAGTTTTGCTCTTGATTTCCTGATTAACCACCCCATCGCCAAATTCCCATCAACACATTTCCAGAAATCACCTCCCAAAACTTTTTTCTAAAACTCCCCAAGGTCTTCACTGTTACCACAGTTCAACCTGGCTCCAATTTAACCTGGTGTTCTCAGAAGAATCCTAAAATTTGGAAGGTCCCATTCTTTCTTTCCAATAGCTTGTTTTCTCTAAGGTTTCAAGGTGTTGTAGAACTGTCTCGTTGATTCAGAGAGAAATCAGAGATGGTGACTACTGTTTAGTTATGCAGGGGTGGCCAAAAAAGATCAGAGGAAAAGCTGTGTCCTGTAAGCCAAGCAGGTTTTTCTGATCAGCTGCTTTATGGACATTATAGCTGGTCCAAATATCTCCAAATATCTGAAATTAATTCTCCTCTTGTTGGACATCACATATGCCCCACATGAAGTGAGTTAATCTACTGCTGCTTTGCAATGGTGGAAGTTAGAGAATATCACAGCCGGAGAGGGTCTTAGAGATAAACTATTCAATCCCATTGCTTGACCCGTGAGGAAGCTGTGACTTGCCTCAGGTCTCACAACCAAGTGGAAGAAAAGCCAGCTTAAACCCCTGCCGCACTGCTAAAAGCTGGGCAATGCACCTCAAAGGCATTTTCTCTGCAATGACCCAACTGCAGCAGAGCAAAAGCTCCTGCTCAGGACAAGGTCACCACAGGTCTAAAGTTCTTGTTGGGTCTTCCACACATGGGCAGAAAAGAAGAGATGAGCTCTCCATTTCAGCTAGCCAGTGAAATCCTGACAGTCTGCTGTAGCACTTGGGTGGTGCAGCGTCATTTCAAATGAACCAGAGCAGGTGGAAACATCCAACTGGCAACCAGATTGGGAGGCTCCTTGTGAATAAAGGTTCTGAGAGAATTTATGGCTAAAAGGACAGGGGATCTGATGACAATGCAACCATATGGTATGGGATGGCAGTAGGTGAGCTCTCTTGGTCCCAAACACATTCACAGACAGCAGCACTACCACCTGGGGTGTCCCATGGACTCTGCAGATCAACAGAAACACTCTAGCAAAGGAACCTCACCATTATACAAGGCAGAGTTCACCACGCCTCCCGCAACAGCTAAGGCCAGGCCAAACTTGCCAATGGATTCAAACACTTTGGCAGCCATGTCTCCTTCTGCTGGACCCACTCACACCTAAGAAGGTAAAAACAAAACAAATAATATAACTTGATTCCCAAATCCTCAGAGAAAGCCCTCTCTGCCACACAATATTCACTTCTCAAGCTGGCTATTTTCTTCCCCATTCCCTGAGAGCTTGAAATCATCAGCTGAAAAACAATAAATAACACTCAACAGCTTGGAAAACTGTAGTATCAATTCCTCTGCTCTTTTGTTTTCTACCACTTAAGAAGAGGGGTCTAAGAGCACTTGGTTCAAAATGGGACTGAGGCATGGAATCGATACCCTCAGGGAACTTAGCACCATGCTAAATCACCCTCCCATTTTCTGGACAAACAGGCCCCAAAAGAGAGGCTGTGTGGTTAGTTCTGTATGCTTTTGATTTGGAAAAATAACTCAAAGAATGTGCTACATGGTGATTCCCACAGCAAAAATAACAATAGCTAACCTTTATATCAGACGGCCTTCTAATGGCAATTTATTTAATCCTCACACCAACCCTTATGAAGTAGGTTATTACAGATGAGGAAACTGAGGCACACAGTGAGGTTACATGAGGAGCCCAAGATCCACAGCTATATTAAGTGGCAGAACCGGGATTAGAACCTAGAGGTCTAATTCTAGAAGACACAGCTTAATTCCTCATCATACGCTTCTCAACATCAGGTACTAAGAATAAACTGTTATTATGGAAGCAAGAGCTGGATAGCATTCTGGAACCAATATAAGGAAGAGTAAGTGGGAAGGTGGGGCTAAGGCGGGGTGGGCGGGAGCACAATAGACCTAATTAGAATCCATTCCAGCACTTAACTTTTTAATGCTCCGCCCCATGGTCTTCATTCACTTCAGACTCAAATCCCCCCTCTATCCTTCCCAAACCGCTGCTCCTGAGACTACCCTGATCTTCCCTCGTGTATTTAAATATTTCTTTCCCAAAGACTGCACGCCTTTGCATTTTTTTTTCTCCTGAGACTACCCTGATCTTCCCTCGTGCATTTAAATATTCCTTTCCCAAAGACTGCACGCCTTTACATTTTTTTTTTTTTATCCTCATCCTAGGATATTTTTCGATATTTTGTTCAGATAGAGTGGGAGGGAGAGAAAGAGAGAGAGAGAAACATCGACATGAAAGGGACACATGAGTGGCTGCCACCCACACAACCGAACCAGGGCCGGGGACAAACTGCAACCGAGGTACGTGCCCTTAGCGGGAACCAAACCCAGGTCTCTCCGGCCCGCAGGTCCTCTCTAACCGCTGGGCCAAAACGGCCAGGGCAAGCCTTAGCATTTCGAATAGCTTCTAAATTATTCCTCACCCTGCCCCCATACACACCTCCCTTAACTCTACGCAACTCCTGGCTGGTCCTGGGCTCATCCCCTTTCCCTTTTCCCACGAGGAAGCCCCACGGACGCATGTCACTCGCCCAAACAGCAAATGAGAGTGCAGAAAGAGACTGCTGAGCTGTTCAGAAGAGGACCACAACCATTCTCCTCCATTCTCACCTGCTTCTACTCTGACCTCCACAAGAATTCCCCAGCTACACATACTGCGCATGCGCCAGACAGCTCCTCCTCTTCCCCGCCCTTCTTCCAAGATCCACACCTCCGATTGGCCGGAAATAGCGCTCTGCATTCTGGGAAGGGTGGCTTTCAGCCCTACTCTGGTTTCTTGACTCTTAGCAGATAAACTTCAATTCCCAAAATGCCATGCAACGGCCGACCCGCCTGAAAAGCCTTTTCTCTTTGGTGGTAAATGCCGATAGGCTGCTGCAAAGCCTTTTGGGGGCTGTAGTTAATTGGGGGATAAATGCACGTGCGTATCGATGTTAGAACCTCCCGGAAGATGGGCCTTAGAGTCCTCGTAAAGACAGGCTGGGTCTGCAGCTAGTGGCAGGGAAGGGCTGGGACAAATATACGGCTGATGAAAGCTCGGGTGGGCACCTTGGAGAAAGTTGTGGTAAATAATTGGTGGGATGAGAGCCCTTGAAGGAAACTGAGGAGTCGTCTTCATTCCACAGTCCTGCCTGGAAATGTCCCAAGAGTCGTGAGACATTGATTACCAGAGCCATAAAGAACTTTAGGCCCTGGCCGGTTTGGCTCAGCGGTTAGAGCGTTGGCCTGCGGTCCACAGAGACCCGGGTTCGGTTCCCGCTAAGGGCACGTACCTTGGCTGCAGTTTGTCCCCGGCCCTGGTTGGGTCGTGTGGGTGGCGGCCACTCGATGTGTCCCTTTCACATCGATGTTTCTCTCTCTTCCTCTCTCTCCTTCCCACTCTATCTGAGTAAAAACTGGAAAAATGTCCTCTGATGAAGATTAAAAAAAAAAAAAAAAAGAACTTTAGGCCCTGGATGGTGTGGTTCAGTGGATGATTGAGCCTCGCCTAATGCACCGAAAGGTCCCGGTTTGGATTCCTGGTCAGGGCACATACCAAGATTGCTGGTTTGATCCCTGGTCAGGGCACGTACAGGAGGCAATGGATAGATGTTTCTGCCTCACATGAATCTCTTTCTCTCTCTCCCCCTCTCCCTCCTTCCCTCTCTCTCAGATCAATAAAACATTAAAAAAGAACCTTATGAAGCATCTGGATTAGAAAAGGAGGTCCAGAGAAGAAGGGATTTATTCAGGGTCAACCACCGATTTAGCAAAGGGGCTTGGTTTAGAGACCGGGTCTCATGGAAAAAATTATATATATAATTTAAATATATATATTTTAAATTTTTTTCTTTCTTTTTTTAGAGAAAGAGAAGGAAGGGAAAGGGATAGAGAAATAGAAACATCAATGAGAGAGAACATCGATTGGCTACCTCCTGCATGCACCCCATTGGGGATTGGGCCCACAACCTGGGCATGTGCCTTGACTGGAAATTGAACCGGTGACCTCTTGGTGCCGGTTAATGCTCAACCACTGAGCCACACCAGCCAGGCAGGAAGAATATTTTTTAAAACGTTTTATTTGAAAAAGTTGCAAGGATAGTACAAAGAACACATGTGTTGCCTTTACTCAAATTCAGTTGCTAATAATTTACTCCATTTGCTACTTCCCTCCCTCCTCATCCTCTCTCTTTCTCTGCATTTTCTTCGATATTTTGTTCAGATAGAGTGGGAGGGAGAGAGAGAGAGAGAAACATCGATGTGAAAGGGACTCGTCGAGTGGTCACCACCTGCACGACCCAACCAGGGCCGGGGACAAACTGCAACCGAAGTATGTGCCCTTAGCGGGAATTGAACCTGGGTCTCTCCAGACTACAGGCTGACGCTTTAACCGCTGAGCAAAACGGCCAAGGCTTTCTCTGCATTTTCTAATAATAAGGACATCCTTTTATATAACTTGAGCAACTTCAATCTACCTGCTGCATTCCATTTTTGTCCATTGATCCAATAATGAACTTTATTGCACACCCCCCCAACACACACACACACACACACACACACACACACACACGATACAGTCTGAGATTAGGGACTGTTCCTTTCTCATGTCTCTTTAGTTTCCTTTAATCTGAAAAATTTCCTCAGCCTTCCTGTCTTTTATCACATTAAAAAGAAGAAGAAGAATAGTGTTATTCATTTTGGGTTTGTCTGATTTTTCCTCATGATTAGATTCAGGTTTTACATTCTTAGCTGGGATACTAACTAAGTGGTGTATGGACACTTAATTTTGATGAAACCTGGTCCATTTCTGGATTCTAGTAGGATTGGATTCTTTCAACTTATTTTTCCTGCATTTCTCTCCTTTCCTCTCCGCCCCCCTTCTTTGTCTCCACTTGACATAATCAAATAATCGGAGATATCCGTGGCAGCATTCTTCAGATGATACGAGTTTGCCCTAACTAGCCACATTTTTTCCTCTCATTACTAGAATGCAAGCTCTATGAGAGCTGAAAGTTTAGTTCTAGTCCCAGAACATAGAATGCTGTTTGACACACAGTGGACACTCAATAAGTGTTTGTTGAATGAATGAATGAATGAATGAATGAATGAATGAATGAATGATGAAGGGAGTGGAAGTGGTAGGTTTAATCCAGGAAGCAGGATGCTCCAGAATCCCGCAAGAATAGCCTTAGTATTATTTGCTTCTATTCTAATCTCACTAGCAAGAATGCTGAGAACATTAAAAGAAACCAATCTTCGTTTTATAATTTTCCAGTCTGTGTACCTAGAATATACTGCTTGAGCATCATTACATCCCACGGTCCCTATTTTACAGATAAGGATGTTGAGGTTCAGAGGCTAAATGGCTTACTCATGGTCATTCATCTAGTTAGAGCTAGACTGGACTGGAACATGTTCTAGGTTTAAGCCCTATATTCATCCCACTTTCCTCACATTGTGTCCTGGGCAGCAGTGGCAATGGGAGAGCTCCTGAGATACGAGGGCACTGTGTGGACATGTGGTAGTTGTAGTTGGAAAGATGGGGAGGATGAAGAATAAGGATATTAAGGAGGGTATTTGGGAATAGTCTAATTGTGATGAGACAAAGATTAGGACAGAGCTGCATTGATGCCTCAGCTTTAAGTCCAATTCATTGCTACGTAGAGCATTTTCTCCTTCAGCCCATTTTCCCAGTCAGGTGTCAGATTGAGTATAAGAAATACATCTTATACACTGTGGGTCAGTTGCTTCATAAACACATAATCTTACTTAACTTTATTTTCATATCACTATTTTGGAAATGAAATGAGATTCAGAGAGATCAAGTAAATTGCTTACAGTCACACAGCTTGTAAATGACAAATAAGTGATACCATAGCCTGTACTTTTCCAAGCCATGGGAATGGGTAATCTGTAAGTAATATGCAAAAGGTTGATTCTACTTCCTGGCTCAATGCCAAAGTGAGAGACGTGGGAACTAAAGCAAACAATTATAGAAGGACATCTCCATTTCTTCCTTTATTTAACACACATATATTGGAGCCCTATCATGTCCCAGATATTCTTTTTTTCAATTTTTAAAAAATCCTTACCTGAGGGTATTTTTCTATTTATCATCAGATAGAGTGGGAGGGAGAGAGAGAGAAACACTGATGTGAGAGAAACACATCAACTGGTTGCCTCCCACACGACTCCAACCAGGGCTGGGGACAAACTGCAACCAAGGTACGTGCTCTTGACCAGAATCGAACTCATTGGTCCACAGACTGATGCTCTAACCTCTGAGTCAAACCGGCCAGGGCCCAGATATTCTTTTAGATGATTGGGGATATGTGTGAAACAGTAAGGGAGGTTTTGACTGAAAGTAGCAGACTCAAATGTCTTAAGCAATAAAGAAATTACATCAAATAATACATCCTGGGGTAGGGCAGTTCTGGGGTTTTGGTTAATTTAGTGGCTCAACAGAGCCATCAGTGATGCATAGTCTTTCCATCTTTAATTCTGCCATCTTCAGGTGTTGACTTTTGTCCTCATAATTATCCCCTAAAGGTCACAAGATAACTGCAGGAGATCCAGGCTTAATGTTCTCACACCACATTTAAACAAAGACCAGAAAGCAGGGAAAGGGCATGTTACATTTTGGGTCCCTTTATACCAGTGAGGTAAAGATTCCCAGAAACACTCACCAGACATCCCTTTATCTATTGGGCAGAATTTTATCATCTGCCCATTTCTAGACCAATCATTGGCAAAAGAATGGCATTACCATGTTGGAACTGAACAAATCAAGAGCCGACCTTTGGGACTGGGGAGGGGCCTGGCTTCTCCTAAATCACTTGACTACCTAAACCATAACAAATCAAAACTGGGGGTAAGCAAGGAATAAAAAGGAGAATGGATGTTGGATCTGCAACCAGTGGTGTCTGCCACAAGGGGCCTATTTTGGATCAGCTGGTCAATGAGGCCTCTATGAGGAGATGACATTTAAGGTAAGATCTGAAGAAGTGAGACGTGGAAAATGTTGGGTGAGGTGGGAGGAGAGCATTCAAGCAAAAGGAATAACATATGCATGTCAGGCACAGGCAAAGCACAGCTGATAGAGTGGCTGGTAAAAAGACAAGGAGCCCTTTTTATTTTATTTTTTTAAAATATGTTTTTATGGATTTTTTTAGAGAGAGAGGAAGGGAGCAAGAGAGAGAGAAACATCGATGGGAGAGAGAAACATTGATCGGCTGCCTCCTGCACACACACTACTGGGGATCAAACCCCAAACCTGGGCATGTGCCCTGACCAGGAATGGAACCAGGACCTCACAGTCCATGGGACGACACTCACTCCTCTGAGCCATACCACCAGGGCCAAGGAGCCCTTTTTAGATTCAGCTTATTACTTACGTAGACACTGGAAAAGGAAGAGTAGCCAAAGGTGCCAGCTCCTACTGGCCTGGGTGTGGGGCTAGATGATAGCACAGAAGTTAGCACTCCCAGCTGTGGAGGAGCCGAGGCTCTAAGGCAGCTAGGCAGTACTCTAGTTTGCAGCTCTATCCTTAGTGAGTGGGTTAAGGACAGAGGCTTTTCCTTAGAAAGGCTCAGACCCTATGAGAGCCCAGAGGCTCTGAGAAACCTTTTCACAGCAACTTTCCAGGTACATAGGGAAGTGAAGGAGAAATGGCCTTGTAGCAGCTCCTTACAACCCCCTCTGGTATTCCAGG